GTCTGCAATAGACAAAATATACCCATCCTATACTAAGAGTGACCTATACCGCTACAATCTTATAAATAGAATGTGCATGCATTTTTCATTATGCTTGTTTTGAATGATATGCAGTAAAAGCTGTGGATTGGAGATGTGATGACATTCATGGACAAAGGTCACAGTGTGAGCGTGATGGGCAGCAGGTCAATTTAAATTCATTCTTCTAGAGATAGACAGTATCAGCAAAAGTGTTTATGTTTACAAGGCTTGTATGTTTGTTATTTTTTTCAGACAATGCATAAAGGAGTGTATCATGTCAAATTGACTGATCATTACAATATTTACTGAACATAAGCTATTTAACTAATAACAAAATCACATCACAGTTATTTAATTATTAAAAAACAGAGACACACTCATTCAGCAACAAAAGTTTTGTTTGAGAAAGTAAATACACTCAAATAGTTATTACAGCTAACGGTATATTTCTCCTGGCTCTTCAGTATGAATAATAGTCACACATGTCTGTCCCATATTTAATATTCGACGGAAAAAAGATCACTGTGAGCTTTGAAATGCACTCTGTTACACATTTATAGCTGTCAGTTAGTAAAATATTGTCACATTCATTCAGTAGCTCTTATATGTCATCCAATACTGACTTATGAAACTTTAATCATAGGCCTTTCTTACTCTCATGTGTATCATCAAGAAGCATTTATATAATGTTGCTTTCAAAACCAAACAATGCAAATATCATGCTTGTGTTTTGTGCCCCTCGAGAGTTTGTGTGTGTTTTTCCCCCTGAGTTATGTGCCTCAGGTGGTCATGGAGTTTGATTAATGTTTTAGCCAAACTCACTGTGCACTTCCAATGACCCCGTAGACCACAGAACATTAGTTTATTAATGCAGCATTTCATTGCTTCCCTGGCCTTTGTTAGTGATGGTGTGGTCACTGTTTGACTTATGGTAACATCAGAGATGAAAGTCCACGATACATACTGCATGTACATGTGTACGAGTGGGACAGGGAGTTGAGGATCAGTTATCTGAGGTCAATGTGTGCAGTCTATCAGATGTCAGCGTGACTTTTAGTTGGAATTAACAACATCTGTCCAACTTGGGAATTTAAAATGAGAAATATTACCCAAAAGGTGTAGAGTGGTTTGTCATATCTGATTACAATATGTGTGTGTAATTTAAAAGGACAAGCAAAACAAATGAATTGATTAATTCATTAATTACAATATACAAAATATAAATGTAGTAATTTTAGAATGAATGAACCATTTTTATCTGCAGCGCAGCAGTTTGCCTTGCATGGAGGCTGCCATGTTGANNNTAGCACAGAATGGACAAACCAAACAGATCTAGATGGGGGCTTGGCACTTTTTAGTTCGGTTGCAATCTGTGACTAAACCACTAAATGCTACTAAATCTTACACTCTGGTCCTTTAAAATGTGTACTATATAGATAAAAATAGCATAATATATAAAACTATATACACTATAAATCTATTTTCTTCTATCTATCTTATTGATCAAGTATAGCATCTGATCATTTTATATCAACCACAACGAAAACCCCCAAAACACATACAAATTCCACCAGAATTTAAAATGACAGACAAATTCCTCACACCCTCTAAAATACAGAGGGCATGACCTCAGTGTCCTCAGTGGCAGCTCTGAGCGTGTTTCAGATGAGAGACATTTAAAACAAATTCCGTGATCGCAGGTTCTGTCTCCATCAGCATTTGCAATTATTTAACAGGAACCTAAAAATAAAAAAGTACAGCTTACTCCAGGTGCTCAGTAGAGTGTGAGACTTTTCCATTATGTTCAGTTTCACTGTCAAGCTTTTAAATGGTCATTTTCACAAAGAAAAGCCACTTTGACTCTGAGGGGTGTTACCTTTAAAGCAAGAATACACCATGAAAACTACAGATTCTTAACTAGGGCAGATGCTGGCTGGTGCCATTTGGTTTTTGTATAACAGACTGTGCTGCCCTCTCATGGCAGACAAGGGAGCAGTACAGTTTCCCTCTTTGGCCAAGTTGTTACTAACCCAGTGTCCTTCCTCTCTTACCCTTTAATCAACATGTAAGAACTTTTCCTATCCCAAGACTTTATTTTGTTTGCATCCACACACCCATCAAATCCGCCTTTATGAAATAAAAACGGCCTTTGATGTGGATTAAAAAGAGCCTGTAAAGTTTTACAAGGCTTGTAACGTCTAGAAAAATAACAGGCAAGTATAATGTGAGTACTTACATCATGCAATTAGGAATTCAATGGAAGGAATCCACAGAGAGAAAATCACCAGCTTATACAAGGACTTTTTTGGACTTTGTTTCTGTTTTGTATATTAACATTCCACCCTGGCAATGAAATTTGTCTCCCAATTTGTCAGATACAAACATTACAATCCCTCCCAAACATGCTCCAGTCAAACAAAATAAGCAGAGTTTGTTTCTTGAGGATGAACTTGGCATTCCTCTAGAGTCAAACACAATCAAACTCATCACAGTCTGCGTAAAAAAAATGATAGTGTCACATTGCCTCCATCAGTTTAGCTTTATTCAGTCAAATCAATCTTTTCTCTCTGCTGTTTGTCTCTCCTGCCAGAGAGTGACATACAGAACAAATAATATAATGCCGAAAGTATTCTTATGCGGTGTACTCATTGTCTGGTGTATTATATTTCCCTCTCTAAAGTTCTATCTAGACTCATTTTATAACTATTATGGAAACATATTACCATAAAGCACACCATTTCCTGAGTGGCTATATAGGAAGATCATATGAGGAAGTAACAGTTAATGAATAGCTAAGTAGTTCTTGAGTAACTCTGAATCATGAATTTTACAGTATGGTAGATAATTATAAGACGCTTAAGAACAGACGGCTTCATATTATGAGGAATAAGGAAACATCTTTATTTACCAGTTAATTATTTACAGCACACCTAATCGAATCATTGAACTAATTATTAATTATTTATTGTGTGCACACTGCTTTCTAAATCTTATTGATTTGTGTCAATAAATACACAATTTATGTGTGCTACTTTATTACTTGCCTTTTATTTGGTCAACTAAATGACTACTAAGTACCATTAGCGACACAAAGACAAAGATGCATGTTTACTTTAGTCATTTTATATCCTTCTCCTGAGCAGCAGGTCTCACAGTGAGTTTATAGTCTAGCTAGTAGTGTGTCTTTAGTTTGAAGCTCCTTCTTTAACCACAAACCTTTGCCAGTTCTGTCTGGGTCTGTTATTGCAACTTCAGCTACTTCACTACAGTCTATCCTTGACAAAGTCTGACAGGGCAGAGTGTAGCATGTTCCTCAGGTTTCAGAAGCCACAAGGATTTCCCACAGATCTGTGCAAACTCGATGTTTCACTGAAATAGATATGTACATAGCTAAACAAGTCTGAAGGAATGAAACATTGACAGGTGCATCCCTCAGTGTCTATTTTGAGAATGTTTGAAGATATATTTATAGTTAAAGGTACACTGCGTTATGGAGTAATGTTTAAAGAGTGGGTGGCTTTTTTTCTTATTATCTTGACACAGTGCAATACAGACGATTTAATTGTATCCTATTCCACTGATGGACACTTGGTGGCAGTAATGTGCAAAGAAACACAGCAATGTCCTAACATAGGCAAGGAAGAAGACTGCTAGCCAAAAAGAATGTTAACAATGTATTTTTTTTTAATTCTTCCAAAATCTGGAAATGTTTTATAAGGTAGGAAACAAATTCAACAAGTTTAAAGGACACACACAATATACTGTATTTTGGTGATAAGCTGTAAATGTAAATATAATTTAGTTTGATCTATCATTGGTTCAAGTAATGTAGATGTTTAAAGTAAATACTGTTTGAGTACTAAAACGTAGTGCACGTTAAAGGTAAAGTGAAATATAAATGTTTTAATTGTGTTATTAACACCACAAGTTGTGTACAACTTTGGTGTTCATGGAGCACTAAGATGAAAGTAACAAACATTTTCTGCAAACAGAAACATGTCATCAAAATAATTCCAAAATGTTTTAGATCTATACATATTAGATATGTTAAGTAATATCAAAAGAGGTAAAAATTAATGTTTTGAATGTTCTATTCTTGAAAGTTTCTTAGAAAAATCTACACAAAGGTTACAATTTGTTTTCCCCCATATAATTAAAATATTAATAATTCATAATAATTCAACCTCTGAAAGAAAATACAGTACATCCTTTGACCAACAGGGGCCGATAATACCTGCATGAGCAGGGCCAGAGGAGAGAGATCAGAGCTGCAGTCTTTGGTGATACTGTACAAAAACAACTCTTATAATTAAAAATGGATTGCATTTTTAAATTTGTACGGTGAAAATATTGTCTGGGTTTTCCTCTGAAGTCTTCCAGACAGCTAGCTGCACGGCTAAATGAGCTAACTAGCTATCAGCAGCTACAGTTAGCAGTTTAGCAACAAGTAAAGCTATCTGTCAATAAGAAACCCTGTTAATCACAGGTTGAGGCAGAGCAGCCGGAGGACATCAGAATGACAACCAGAAAATGTTTAACTTCAACCAAAAAGCACTTTTTGCGAGACATCATCTACTGAACAACCTACCTGGAAGAGGACTCATGAACAGAGCTGTAGAATGAGACAGACTGAGCAGGTGATGTGAACATCATTGTACATAAATGACAGAAAATAATGGAAAGCACAAGAGGTCCCCTTTAAAAAAGCACTGAAACTAAAAGGTAGGCCAAAATAAATGTGTATAACTGTTACAAATTCCTAAACCGGGGGATTTTCTTATACAAAAAAGCAAAAACAGGAGAGTAAAACCTATAAATCTCTGATTCCAAAGCTCCAACCCCCATTCACTTATTTATTTATTTTAGACTACCTGTATTCCAGTTCATATAGGCACAAGGACCCAGCAGAAACAAAAACACCCCTCTCATCCCCAGGCCTTCGCTTCCTGCCCTCCCACTTCCTCCTTCAAACCCATGTGCTGCTAGAGGAGGTGTTTTTTTACCTCAGCATGTGTGTGTGGGTGGGTGTGTGTGTATGAAAGATATTGAGAAGAGATCCCGAATGAGTGCAGGGTGTCTGGGAGCAGAGGGAATGATGATGGGTTGACCTTTGGAAAGCGTCTCACCTAAAAAACCTGGAGAACATGGAAGCCAAAAAGGTCCTCCATTTTGTGCCATCTGGTAAGTTTTACAGGGTTTGGAATGGGGTGAGAAGGTCTTTCATGGTGCAACCCGAGCCAACTGTGTCAAACACGTGGAGTAACTCTCTATACAGTGTGTGTGTGTGTGTGTGTGTGTGTGTGTGTGTGTGTTGAGAGCATGTAGGAAATGGTGAAAATAGTTTTTTTATGGCGTATAACTGCAGGCTTTCCTCTTTAGGCGTACAATCATTTCATAACACTACTATTTCCTTTTATTTGCCTTTTCTTTGGGTACTATTTGCATGTTTTATGTTCTTGATATTAAAACCACAGAATATGAGCAAGATGCTTTTATTGCCAGAGAGCCAAAAGCAGAGGATATGGGTCAATATTTACAATATGGCAATAAATGCTACATGGAAAGTTTTTACAACAGACCTCAAATAATTTTAAGCATCTGTTTTAACCCACTTAGGAAGGAAGGGTGGAAATCTTTCCAGAAAAGTACATTAAGTTGATTTTGAAATACTTTCTGTTGTTGTGGGGAAGTCTTGCTACATAACACTTCTTCTTTTACGATACCACTTGCAAAATACAACAATAATCCTGCCTCTCCAGCACACCAGAATTGAAACAATTATTCAACATAAAAATAATTAGAAACTCTTTTCATAATGGAATTTTTGGAAGTTTTCTACAAAAAGTGCCACAAAATCAATTGATCCATAATTTTATGCTTTTCCTTGTACTAACAGGATAGCAAGCTAGAGGTTTGAAGAAAGATTTTCCACTATTTTGTGACATTTTATATATCAAACTATTAATCAGTTAATTGAGAAAATAATCAGCAGATGAATCAATAATGAAAATAATTACATGCGAGCCTGTAGAAAGCTGAGTATGATTGTATTTCTGTTGCCATTAATGGGTTAAAAATTAAAAAAATGTCTTTTCTCAGGTCCAGGATTAAGAAGATTATCTAGCAGAAAAATGTTCTAATCTATTTTAATATGGCAAATTTCAACTCTTTCTTCTCTTATCTAAGCAATTCTCTGGTTGAAGTTGATGATAATGTGTCAGTTACAATTTAGTCATTATAATTAATTGGATTTTATATCAAAGTATCAAACTCACAGCATCCCCATACAATCCCTTCAGATGCGTACTTTGTCTGGTGTGCTGGATAAACAAACACCAGGTAGTCTTAACCTTCGAGGTGCTGACGTGGAATGAGCCGTACTTCCTACTTCCTGTTATTTGCTTTATTTCAATATATGAATGTGTACATTGTGACTTAGAGTACACACTGTTCATGGTACAGTGCTCACAGCCACCATGGTCAAATTTGGTGCTGATAAGGTTAAGGTAAGGTTCAGCTGTATTTTTTTTTAACATAGTTCAGAATATTATGTTAAATTATTTCAAAAGCACAAAATTGAAAAGCAGACCTTCTTCTTTAAAAGAAAACCTGCAATGACACCTTACATTCATGAATACCATGTCCCATCTGCCGTGATGGTTTGACCTTGTGCAGAGTTTTCAGTTCTGTAGCTTGATGCACTTGTTTCCAGACCCAACAAGGATTCGTCTGTTTCATATTGCTCAAGGACACCCTCCGCCCACAGACAGCAGGGTGGCAGGGATTGATAAAAAATGCACATGGCTTTAAAGAGTTAGCTCTTTTTGAAGTGGGGTTATATGAGGTACTTATTCAAAGTCAGTGTATTACCTACAGTAGTGGTCAACACGCCTCTGGTATGGAGAAGCAGACTGAAGTACCAGCAACAATTACAAACAAAGAAATCAATGTCAAATGAATATTTTTACCATTTACTTTGCTGTCAGACAGTCATTCTAGACAGGGAACTGAGGCTGTTATAGGGCCCTTCCAAGCCACCAGACTCCTTGGACAAAAACAGTAATCTAATCCTCGCAGAACACAGGAGTTGCTGCCTCGATCGCTTAGTTTGTTTGTGTTTTTGTGTGACTTTGGTGTATCTGAACTCTTTATTACAGTTAAAGTCACATCTTGTCAGTACAGGGTCAGAAAGCAGACTATTTTAAGGAGTAGTGTCAGTGTCAGATTTGTTTTAGCCGTTGTGAAAAAAACACATGGTTTGACTTACACCTCTGTCACTGTCAATAAGTGTGAGGAAGTCAGTCTGCCTGCCAACAGGAAACCCACAAGCACGCGCCATCGTAACCTTGCAGAAAGTAAGGCTGCAGAAAGAATGTAAACACATAACAATAACACTGTTACTGTTCGAAAGACCTTTACTGCAGCAGCCTGTACTGACTGAACAGTGGCGGATAGAGAAAACAGCACAAATGTCTTCACACCAGTTTTACTGTTGGATCTGATGAGGAAAGTGTGTACTCTAGTTCTCTGTTGTTGATCATACTGATAAGATAGAGATTGAAAGAATGTACAATAAACTTGACCCTTATCTTTATGAGACAAGACTGTAACAGTCTCAACCAGGCAGACTAAATCATCATCCACACACAAGGCTCTGGTACAAACAGCTCTGTGCATAAGCTGTGAGGCTCCCTGTTGTCTGTGCAGACTCTTGTGAAGTGGAGGAGGCCTGGGAATGTTCTGTGTAATCTCCTTTGAGATATATCCTTGCTCGGGAGCCCCTGAAGCCACTCCTTGCCTCAGGCGAGGAAAACCTCATCTATACGGCTGCAGCAGTGTCTCACAGATACAGGACCGCCTATACAAACATCAGACACAGCTGGCGTCAGATTTGTGTGGTAACTGAGAGCGAAGGCATCGCTTTTCAGTTTCTCAGCACATGTCATTTTTCATTGTCCTCTTCAACACCTCCATAACTGACATCCGCTTTCTGTCTCCATAATTTTATATCATATTATAAGTCACTTTTCTTTAAAGGCTGTCAAGGTCCGACCGAATGTGCGTCACACCTGCAATATTGATTCAACAAGCTGAGATGTTATGGACAATTAGCCTTTTAATATCAAGTTTTAATTTCTGTCTATAAAATCTGTCACTGTGTGCAATAGGAGCATCTAATAGGGTTGAGATATTTGTGCAGGTTAGAAACCAGCTGGTGTTTGCAGACTATTTTTGCTGCTTGTGATGTGACAGCTACTGTTGCATACAGCAGGGTCATGTCCGTAAACATGGAGTCCAGTTTCACACAGTTTTATCACAACTTGTCAGTTTGTGTCAGACATCTACATGAAAACCTATTAGGTCTGTAATGAATGGATTTCAGTGCTTTCATTTATATTTTATTATGTAAGATGTTATGTTGTTGCCCTGCCTTGATGGCCGATGGATTTAAGACGTTGATCATGAATCTGGTGGAGACTTTCATTGCATTGAACTCACCATCTCTCTCTCCTTTTATATCTCTAGTCACCCCTCTACTGTCAACTCTTCTGAGGGCATAAAATATAAAATATCTCCCCTACAATCCACACACACAAAAAAATCCCTAAATATTTGTGTTTTATTGTTTTATTCTATAAACCATAAAATTACATTATTACATTTTCTGTAAATTTAACTGTCCCCCTGTGATGGTCTGAATGCTGTAAAAGCTTTCTTCACACTGCCAGGAAAAAACATATAGATACAAAATCTTTTATTTTATGCATTTCTTTTCAGCTAGAAGTAGTCAATTTATATTGAGTGTAAAAATACTGGAATCAGACTGTAAAATATTCACAATATTTATGATTTTAACTGTAGAACATACACTAACCCAGGTTGTTTAAACTCCCTCAGTGTCCTCAATACCTGCAGTGCTGGTGTCACATTAGATCGTATGGAAGACAAGGGCAGAAAAGATTTTGGTTCTGCAGTAAATTAAAATATAATTTAATTTAAGCCGTAATAATCAGGCTGAATCTTTTAGCTCATTGTTTTGGTTTAATGGCTCGCAACTTTACTGTTTTGTCTCTCACTGCTCTCATCATCTTTGTTTGCAGCAAGCAGTTATTTTCAGATTAAATGCCTCGATAAAGCAATCGTATGCTACATGCTCAGCTGACAAAGTTAGCAACTAGCTGGTGAAAATAGTGGAGCATTTAGCAGCTAATGAGCCAGATATTTCCCTCAGGAGTTGGTGGAGACCAAAACAGAGCTAAAAGGAGAGTGAATATAATATATGAAAACTCCAAATTAATGCTAATTATACTCTCAATCTACTCGATGTGTATATGAGCAGCTGTTTGCTAATATACAGTGACAATATTAATGTTGGTTTTTACATCTTGTATTGCTGTGGCTAAAAATGTATACTGGTTTTTCTGTGTTATGACTTTGCATAATGTGGTTGGAGATTGCCAGCCAATACACACAATAATGAAACACTTTAGTATAAAATACTTTATCATAAATATTGAGTTGTGTAAATATCCTATTTGTCTTTTCTCTTACAGATGCTCCATCCACCGGGATGTCCAAGAATGGATATGTTTTCCAAGAGATGGGTGTGTAGTTCCAGAAATACATATTATATTTACTTGTATAGCTTTTCTCAGCATGGGTCCTGCTCTTTTATCTATTTCATACGATCTGCTCAGCAATCCAGAAAACATACTAATTCGCCCCCTTTTTTTCTCTACTTGGGAGAATACAGTCATTTTTCACATGTAAAAGTATAGCAGCCGTTATTTATGCTAATGCAACGCTTCTTGCTGCTCACTGATGACCCATTTCACATGCTGGTGGGCACAGCCAGTCCCTTCGCTGGTGTGTTGTGAGGCTAATTAATGGGTAAATAACGAGGCAGATGATCTCTGAGTCAATGATGGGAAGAGGGAATACTCATAGCTCAGAGCTTTGCTCATGAAGGGTTAAGGTTAATTCTTTAATTCTGTGGCTGTTTCTTTCTCCCCTCATAAAACTTGCAATCGAGATGCCATATTTATCTTCTATACAATTAAGGAATTTACGAGTGGCTGCTATTGTTATATTGCTGCATGTCTGGTTTAAGGGGGATTTTTTATTTGGTCTCTCTTTCTCCCTCTTGCTGTGTGCTTGTCAACAGATGGCTGAGTGGTGGGAGGCAAACATAAATTGTCCCTTACTGGAGACATTGTTAATGTGGCTAGAATAGCATCTTAACCTTGATACAAAGAACAATTTTATCTTACTGTTAGGTTGTTCTGTGGAAAGACCTTTACTACTACTGCTTATTTTATGCGATTCACCCAATTGTAAAGTGAATTTGAACAAAGCATTGAAGCAAAAAAGAAATTCTCAGAAACTCAGAAATTACAGTAAGGTATGTAAACGTATAAAGTGAGACTGTTTATGTTTTCTTACAGAGCTGCAGGATGGGGGGCAGGAGGATTGTGGGCAAGATTCACCTGTCACTCACAAGGACCACATCTATGACAACCAGATCAGTGTTTCAGGTACGTGCGTCTTTGTGTGTTGTGCCATTTGCGGTGAGGTTTGTTCTCAGAATAAATATAAATAAGAGAGAACAGATGTTCATTGCAGAGGAGTAAAATTAGATTCCTATTTTTGTGATTTTCATTGTCTGAGAATATTTTGCAGCCTCTGCAATTTGGAAATAATGTGTGCCAGCTCTGCTTTCCTGAGTCATAATAGACACAAAGTTCATGGACATGAATTAGCAGCTAGTGCTCCCTATTAACTATTAATATAAATGAGAATAAATTCAATACTTCAGTTATTTCCAAGAATAACTTTATAATTATGAAAGAACAATTTGCAATGGGGATTAGAGTACAGATAAGTGGTTGGAGACTAAGTTTAAGGCAACACTATGTAAGATTAGGTAGTTACAGAGTGCACTGAGAGTTGAGGTGGAGCAGCCGGAGGACAACAGAGGGCAACCCAGACAACATTTTCTCCATAAAATATGATCCAGTTTCACCAAAATTACTGACACAGTTGGTGGCGTGTGACTACTGCCATAAAGCGTATGCACTTGTCCTGACCCGGAGACCAAATTAATATAGTGCAAGACTAGGCATATGGGGCGCAGAGTGGGAGGCACCATTCACCCTATTACAACTCAGTGCCGGATCAAAATGAGTTTGAAGTTGTTTTTTAAGATAGAGACGTTACATACTGGGGCTGTAAGTATGAATTTCCATGTGCCTTCTGTTTGCAGATCCTGACTGCCCTGGGTTTGGGCTTTTAAACACAACAAGAAAAGTAAGATTTGCCTTTCCAGTCACCCTCTCTGTGTTATGTCATAGAACATCCGTAGTAGCCGAGTGCACACGTTTTGAATGATGAGCTCCATCAGAAAGAAAACGCTGCTCTTACCTTTCCTGTAGAGGGCCTCAGTGTGAATCGTCCAGTCCAGTTTATTGTTGAGATAAACTATTCAGTATATTATTATTATTATTCAGTGGTGAGCTGAGAGGAAATGGGTATTTATTTGCGGCTGAGCAATATACAGTAAGCAAAAATCCAAAAATGCCTTTAACATCTTATTTGCACTATGACGTTATTCAGTCAAATTTCTCTTGTTCTTGGCTCAAAATAGTATGTGAAGCCAATGAACTTCCAGGAGGAAGTGCGCGCCCACAGAGACCTGGACGACTTCCTGGCCCAGGCAAGCATCCTTTTGGATGAGAAAGCTGCCAGTCTGGAAGAGGTCCTGAGGCGAATGTTAACTCACGTGGTGGAGGACGGCCACGGGAGCTGTGACGTGGACAAGGTCATGAATTCAATGTTCACAGACGCAGGAGGGAAGGAGTTTAATGGTGAGCAAATCATATTAGAAGTGCACTCTGAAACACTTTAAGACGAAGTGTTTGCTTCAGAGGCTGACATGTCAACAGCTTTTTTGGCTGTTCATTGTGATGTTTTATGCTCCCACAGTTCACCTTCTGTCAGAGACCATTCAGGGTGTGATTGCTACTACCACTGGCGTTCGTTACCAGCAGTCCTGGCTGTGTATTCTGTGAGTTCATCTACAAAAATATTTGTGAAATGTAAATGTGGAAATCTGCCTGGACGAACACACAACAAATCTTTTCATTGGAAAAGTAATTTTGTTTTGACTTCTAATTTACGCCTGCCAATACAGATTGCTGCATAATCAATCATTTATACACCGGTGATTCAAAAATAAATTATTTTTCACTCAATTCAGCTCAAATGTGAGGAGCCTGCAGAGACGTCATGTCTGCATCGCCCGCCTGGAGAGGCCTCAGAACTGGGGAGTCAACTGCTGCGAGGCTCGCTACGTCATCCTCATCCTGGCCCCCCCTAGAACGGTAAGGTCCAGTTCTTAGGTCTTCTTTTCTTTCTTCTTGGAGCAATCTGATGGTTTATTTGACTCAGCTGCAACTTCTTTTATAATGGAAAATGCCAAAAATCCACTTGCTGGATAAAAGTAAACTGGTGATCAGACACCTTGATCTCTGGGAAAGGACATTTTGCAGTATATTTTTTGACCAAATGATTAATTGAGAAAATGTGGGAAGAGAAATCAATAATAAAATAATCATTATTTGCAGCCCTAATCTGTATGTTGACCTTCATATATGTCAACTTTCTGCCACACTATTTATTTATTTTATTCTATTTATTAGTTTATTTAACAAGGACAGTGCACATTAATAAACATTGCTGTAAATCCACCAGAGTTAGTCTAGAGGCTGTTTTTCATTTGTATTCTCCAGACAGATATTAAGTCAACCTAAAAATGAATATAAGATTGAAATGGCAATGTTCAAATATATAATTTACTAGCATGCAGAATAATAATATAAAGAAAAAAAGTTTAGTAACTAATCAAAAATGCTAGAAAGTTAAAAAGTGTTCCTCTGTGAGATTGTGAAACTAAAAAACTGTGTTAAAGTTGTCATTAAGAATACATTTTAAAGAGTCCTCTAGCCATCATTTCTGTGCTGTTACAGATGGAGACAATGACATAAGAATATATGACGTGTCATATTTAGATTGAATGTAGGTTAAAAATACCTCATCACTGGGAGAGTGCATCTGTCTGTCTACAACTGACAGAATCTCATCATCCTTTTCAGAAAAGCACCAAGACGGCAATTGAACTCGGCAGAACATTTGCTACGATGTTCTCGGACATTTCCTTCAGGCAGAAGCTTCTGGAGGCCAACACCGAGGAGGAGTTCAAACAGGAACTGGTCTACCAGCGACAGCAGCTCTCCATAGTCAAGGAGAAGTTGGTCGTAGAAGAGGTGGAGGACTCAGATCCACGTACAGGGAAACCACTTCAGGTGTGAAAGCAGACAGTGATGTGTTGGCCCTGTGCTGAATTTATAAGAAGTAAATAACATGGGTTAAATGTGTTGTATAACAATACGATGAACCAAAAAATCATGAACCTTAAAAGCTAATATACAACAATACGGAAACACAACTCTTCCCAACATTTATATTCTCTACTGACTTTTAGCTCTCCACATGTTTGAGACCACCCTCGTGTTTTCCCGCTCCATCCAGGCATATAAATATGTGATGCAGTAAAGTAAAGTAGTTGAGCCAGATTATCTGATTATCCTGTTTCCACACTCTATCAGCCAGGCCGGAGGAATGAGAAGCAGCTGGGCAACAGACTGAAAAAGCTGCCAAGTCTGCCATGGTTCTGGCAGCAGAATGTGCACAGCTCCATGTAATGATAAAGTACTTCATTATGTCCAGTGTTTAAATTAAGAGGAAATGTGTGGGCTCAGCAGGAGGTTGGACATGAGGAAACACCCAAATATTGCCTAGAGAGAAAGCTTTTTTTGGGGCTGTAAAAGACGTAAGAAGTTAACAACAGGTTGTGGCTGCACCTGATGTCTTCAACAGTTTGAAAAAAGCATTTAAATGCAGGTTCGCTGCTGCCAAAGTAACCTTTTAACCTACTCTGCAGTTCACACTCAGGTGTGCCAGTAAATGTCTCTACACTGAATATTATTGTTAAGCTCATTCAAAAGACCCATTATCCAGTCAGAAAATGTATGAAAATAAATGGATTTTCAAATTAATTTTCTCTGCATATAAAATATTTTACTGTCTTCTATCACCCACACCAGTCACAGTGTTGATTGTGTTCAGACCACAATTGACCCTTCATCCCTCTTGGCTTTGTGCTCCAATGACAGTTGAGCAAGCCTCATACAGCAAAAATGGGCGGGACTTAGACAGGATCAGTTGCCACTTTAATGAGACCACTGCATCAGCACAGCAGAGGTCTCAACTAGAACACGCTGCGTCCATCCAGTAAAAAAAGTTAAAACTCCCGCAGGATGCCAATGGCCGAACAAATAAATAGAAGTGCACATTCTTGGTAGATTACTATTGGTGTATTTGTACATGATACAATTATTGTTGTCCTGATGTTGTAAAATCCTTTCTCATAGTATTATAAACCACTGCACAGTGTTTTGGCATCTGATGAGCCTTCAAACTGATGGATGTATTAATCAAAACAGCCTTCCTGGATCGTATTTCATGTTGTCACTGGTACCTGACGTGTCCCAACCACAGTGTCATTTTCCAACTTTGTGCCAACTCAGCTTGTCTTATGCATGATGTATGATATTTTTACAGCCAGATTTTTTATATGAAAATCAGGACCAGAATGTATAGTGGAGCTCTTTGTAATTTACCACTTTCAAAGCATATGTCAACCGCAGACGTCTGATGTTGCTGTTACAATACTGTTGCCTTGCCCTCTGTTGTAACACTAGCTCTGATCACAGGTGGAACAAGGTCTGGTTCACCAGTTTCTTAGTGGATGTGATGCTCCTGCCTCTCTGCTCACTATGATTGGCCCCTCAGCATATTTACACACAGAGAAAAGAAGTCTTTAATTCAACGGTGCCATTATGGGCTCTCCAGCTAGTCATAACACTTTGTGACTAAGTATTCTCCTTCACACTTACCGAAATGTCCACTGGCCCTGACTAAATTCTGTTTTTTTCTTCACAGTGCAAACATTTCTTTAAAGCCGGTAAAGGTGTTTATGATGACCTCCGCCGCAGACTCCCCCTCTACCCCTCAGACTTCACAGATGGTATTAATATTGTCCTGTCATACTGCACACATTTTGGCTGCTTTGCCTCTTCTGCTTGTTATATCTTTAATGACCCTTTAATAATCCATCAAGGTCTTACTGGGAAGGACCGCTGTCTGCTGAAGTACACCACCACTGCTATTTTCCTCTACATTGCTATTCTACTGCCTGCGATTGCCTTTGGCTCACTGAATGACGAAAGCACAAGAGGAGAGATAGGTATGGACTCCTGTCTGTCTGCAACATCTATATGTACTATAATATTATATATCTAATAATCTAAAGCATACAAATGTACTGACGTTATGCTGTTTGTTTTTTGACAGATGTTCAGAAGACCATTGTTGGCCAGAGCATTGGAGGAGTGATCTATGCTTTGTTTGCTGGCTCGCCACTCGTCATCCCACTGACCACTGCACCGCTGGCTATCTTCATAAGCGGTGAGTGTTGTGTCCTAATATAGATTAGAGGCCAAAATTTTTTATTTTTTGCTAACGGGAATAATTCTGTAGCACACATCAGCTGCAAACAGGAACAGAAAATCTCATTTTAATTCAAGCTTGCTGCTGACATTAAAGCCAAGTTACACACATTGAGTCCACCTCTCTGGATTGCCCAGATTTTTATTAACACTTAATCAAATAACTGTGTAACTGAAAAGTGTTGCAATTACAAACCCACTGAGAATTGTGAGATTACGAACAATATGACACAGTTATTATCGCTAAATTGTAATAAAGCAAAAAAAAAAGCTTTACGTTGTATTTGCTGTATTGTGGTTGTCATTTGTGGGCTTTTGTCACATGATAAACTTAAAACAATAACATAGCTTCCAGTCTTTATGAGGCCTTTAAGATCTGCTTGGGAACCCTCCTGACACTTAAAACACACGTGCAACATTATCTGGAACAATATTTGTTAAAAAATTGTTAAGAAGTAGCGCAGTAGTAGTTGCAGTTATTAATTATAACGCAATAAAATGCACGTAGGAGTTTGTGCCTGTGTGTCTTTATGTTTGTTTTTTAGTCATCAGGGGCATCTGTGACGACTATGACCTTGACTTCGATGCTTTCTACGCCTGCATTGGTTTATGGAACAGTCTGTTTCTCATCCTCGGAGGCTTATTCAATGTCAGCCTGCTGATGAAACTCTTCAAACGGTAAATACACAACACCACTCTCAGACATCATTTGTTACTATGACATATCACACACGGAAGCCCCATGTTGGTAATATATGTAACTAACCGTGTGGTCATGAAGTCACTGATAAGAGAAGAGCCATCTGTTATGACTTCCTGTTTTCAGCCATAATTATTAATTTTGTTTAATGTACACACTCACTATCTTGGCCATCATTTTCGCCTTGAATGGACTGTTATGTCTGAGCCTGTACAAAAAACACAATTTTGATAAAAACATGAATGATCACAACACGCTTTTTTATTTCCATTATCTCCCAGCTCAACAGAAGAAGTCATTGCATTGTTCATCTCTATAGCATTTGTCGGGGATGCAGTGAAAGGCACAATCAAAAGTAAGTCAAATCAAGGTCAGACTGCATTAAACATGCTTTGAATGCAGCAGAGCTATCTGTCCACACTGCAGGGGAATGTTGAAATGTGCGGCCTATTGTTTGTTTTAGGTAATGTAGCCCATCAAATATAAATATCCATCATGGAGTCTTTAGAGGAAAGGCAAGCATGAAATCAAACAAGGCCCCCTGTGTGTTGTGGAAAAATAGACAACCCTGCATTGTGAATATAATGGACTCTTTCACAAGGGTTTGTCACAAGACAGGAAATAAATGGATGAGCTATTGATGGTTTCTTTAGAGCTTTCTTTTTTCCTCTTTAAGCCTCAGGCTGTTGTAGTTTCCCACTAAACTACACCAAACTGAGCAATGCGGCACACTGCCTGAATGCCTTAAAATATACTGAGAATGACAACATAAAAGGGTGATTATATTGATAAGAGGGTACAGTATGTATAAAGATGCCCAGTGTAGTGTGAAATAAAGTGTATTTTATTTTAAATTCTCTACCTCAGCATTTCTTATTTGTGCTGAGATCCCAAAATGGGCCTGAGGCTTTTTTAGGACTAGACAAATATATTAAATGTTTCAGTCTCCAACAGCAAGAATAAATATACTCATATTGAGTTTTACTTTGTAGAGAAGTATATGCTGCCACCGCTACAAAGGATATTTGCTCAGTTTCTTATCATGACAAAAAAGTTCTTGCTAGCCTTTTCACATTATATCAAGATATTATGACATCGCTATCTTGTTATATCACAAGGTTGTTCAATTTCCAGTACACATTCATACATACAACATTCTATTTTTAAATCTTGTCAAACATTAACTAGTAACCACTCTAAAAGTTGCCTGTAGGGCATGGGAGTATAATTGACTGTTTTTCTGTGTCAGCCATGTGAAAGACTGATGCCCTGTCGCCCTGGGACAGGCTCCAGTCCCCTCGTGCAACCCTGCACAAAATAATAAATGACGTAATGGATGGATGGTACTTTGGCTGTGACCCAAGCATCAAATAAAACATCTTTAAACCAGTCATTCTAGCAGATGTAGGCTGCAATCTCTTCATCTTCTTGTTATAACAACACAGCGACGTATCAAGTTTTAACAATTGAAGTTTTAACAAGGTACATCGGTTTGGTCAAATAAAGAGAAAGTTTTGTGATATTACAAGATAAAGGGATGTGTTGTTATAGCAAGAAATGTTTCTTGTAAAAACTGAATAATTTTGGATCTAGTAATAACAAATAAATATGTCATATTTAATGAAAAATAACAAAGCTTATATAAGTTTGTCTGCAGTTTCATCCCTTTTTTTTCTTATTTTGCCCACTCTTTGCCAGTTTTTAAGCACTATTACTATGGGCCCACACTGGCAACCACAAACAGCACACTGGTGCTTCAGCAGATTAATGAGATTCTAGAGAAGATGAAGAACCAGACGGAAAACACGCTTGGGAATCATAATGAGACCGTGTCACTGATGGGACATGCAGAAGAACATGCACTAATCTTCCTGCCTGAGTCTCTGGTGGTGTGCACAAGAGAAAGGCCCGTCCTCTGTCTGTTGCTCATGCTGGGGACTTTGTGGCTGGGTTACGCCCTCTACCTCATCAAGAGGAGGTATGTATATATACCATTTAATCAAAATTATATAAAATATATATAGCAAGCAGTGGCACAGCCCTTTGGATTGCACACTGCAATATTACAATATAAAGTCTTTTATTCAGCAACAAGTGAGCTGTCGGTGGGTCCATCATTACAAACTGATGCAGTGCAGCCAAACAATGTTCATATCAACAGAACTTTATCTTAAATTATAGTGGAGATCCCAAAGTTTCCAAAGATACCAAAAAGTCAGGCCTAATTTTGGGTAAATTTGTGTAATACTAGAATATTATCCAAAAATATATCAAATGTATGTAAATATCCTTTTGATACAATGGTGCAGCCAGGTCCAATGAAGAGTTGGAACACACTCACAGAGAATATCTTAAAGCTTACATAAGGGAAAATAAAAGGGGAATACTAAACTTAAATATCAAAAGTAAGTACTCATTATCATAAATGTAGTATTATTCTGACTCTCATTGTAATGCACATAGGCAGTATTGTACCAGTTGAAATGTGTGAAGCAGTAGTGGGGAATACATTAACTTACAATTACAAATTGTAAGTACAATCCTAAGGTGAGTTTTTTTTTGTTTTCTGCTGCTTTATACTTCTACTTCTCTATATATAAAAGACCCGTGTGTGAGATTTAGTGGAATCTAGCAGTGTAATTACACATTACAACAAACTCCAAGTTGACTGCAATCTGCCTCTAAATTCTACACGCTGGTCCTTTAAGTACTTGAGAAGACCTGAAAAAGAGGGACAACTTACATCCCAGGAGTCAGGCAGAAGGCTATAAATCATCAGCAACAATTTTTACGCTTCAGGTATAATAATGCAATACATGAGGTAGATAAATGGGACTTTGCCATCATGTATTTCCACGCCTGACTCCCGAGATGTCATTGTTCTTACCCCTCAGTGGCAAACTTTCAGTACTTGACATGGATTATTTCTCAGGCTAAGAGAGTAACTAGTGTAAATACAGTAGTAAGAATTTATTACATCAGAGTTGCACATGTTGAATTATGTTTCGCTTCTTTCTCCCGCAGCCCGTATCTGAATGGCAGAATCAGAGAGGTGGTGTCTGACTGTGCTTTGCCTATCTCTGTGGTGATATTCTCCTTCATTGGCTCCTACCTTTTCCTTGACATAAAGCGTGAGTACAGATCTCTCAAATAAAACAACTGACAGAAGAGTACCTTCGGGACTTAAAGTCACAACCTTGGCACAGAACATCTTTCACTGTTCATAAATCCTCTGTTGGAAAGGGAAAAAGGAAAATATTTGCCTCTAGTGAGCTTTCAACACAGTGTGGGTTCTGAATCACTGTGGGTGAAAGACACTGGGTTGAATGTCGGCTTATAAAACAAAGCTTACTAGCAGCAGTTCACTATTTGGGCATTTCTTTTACTATGTAATGTCATTTTTTTACCTTACAAGTTTGATAAAACTATAAATCTCATGCTCCTATTAGTTCCTGTGTTCAGTGTCCACGATGGCCCGATCTTCAACTTCCCTCCATTTGAGAAGCTGTCAGGAATGAACACACTGAGTGCTGTTGGCCTGGGTTTCCTCCTCGCGTTACTCATCTTTATTGACCAGAACATCGTCATCTCACTCACACACGTGCCAGAACACAAGTAAGACCGACCACTTCCTTCACACGGCATTTCTCGTTTATTATTTATTTTACCATTCTTGATGAGGTCAAACTGTATGTTTTGTATACCTGCAAACACATCCAGCAGTAGCTCCTAAAAGGAATAGAAGTACTGCTGCAGTCTTTTATTGACAAACCACTTGAAACTCGTGTGTGTGAACGTCTGTACCAGGTTGTTAAAAGGCACAGCATTCCACTGGGACTTAATGTTGACTGGCTTCATCAACATCCTCATGTCCTGTCTGGGGTTGCCATGGATGCACGCTGCCTTCCCACATTCTTCCCTGCATGCCCGTCAGCTGGCAAAAGTGGAACAGCACGTAGAGAACGGACACCTCTACACAACGTGAGTGAAGTTACGACAAGGACAAGAACTGTTCGCCCTTCTGTCTGGAGGTGCTGTCAGTTCAAACACCGACCAAATTAACTAAATAGTTGAAAAGAAAGACGTAGTTTCTGATGCTTTTGCTTCATTTATTTCAAAAGAAGTTGTAAAAATATTGAAATACAGCCTGTGAGCAAAAACAACATCAGCTCGACACATCTCGCTTGACCTTGGACACAGCAGTTATCTTACCTCAAGAGCCACTTACTCTGAGCTTCTGGGGCTTTTGATCCTATATCACGCTCTTCATCAGCATGTGTAGTTTGCTCTGCTGTCAGGAAATAGTAGATGTTCAAACTTCCCAAGATTAAGTAGATCGTGGGAAATATAGGACATCCATGTTGGCTTAAAAGTTAAACGAAGAGCTTGGAGACAATGTGATACGGCCAAAAGCTTCACGAAGGGCAAATAAGTGGATCTTGAGTTGAGATTGTTTTCTCTATTGGAATAGTCCTACGATGTAATGGTCTTATTTTTAAACACATTATAACAAAAACTATAGAAAAAATAAAGTTGACCATTCCATCAGATTTTAGCAATGTTACCATTCAATATTTTTGGTCATAAACTTTGGATTTGGATTAAAAAGTAACCTGTTATTTCCATTTTTGAGGTATATCATTTTTATTTAGCTGAAAACACAGTTTGATAATGGTTGCTTGTCCCAAGATACATCTATGACTTATTTCATTATTAAGGATCTAAGATGAAAAAATGACTCTGGCTGACAATCCTGTCCAAAAACTGTTTGTTAATTTTAGGTGGGTCACAAGCCAAAAAGGTTGGCCACTTTACAGCAACTAAGAACATGTTCTCTGATGTTTATTGTGATATTGAACTTGCTTTTCTCTGCCTTTGTGTCAAACAGTATTGTCAGTGTGAAGGAGACACGTCTGACCTCGCTGGTGGCCAACATCCTGATCGGCCTGTCTGCATTCATGCTGCCCATTCCTCTGCAGTGGATCCCCAAGCCTGTCCTCTACGGCCTCTTCCTCTACATTGCAGCCACTTCACTTGATGGGAACCAGATGGTGGACCGCATGGCCCTGCTGCTTAAGGAACAGGTGAGCAGGAAGGACACTGTGGTTTGATTAGTTGGTCCGTTTGCTTGTTTGTATCGCTTTGTTTGTATCCATAACAACAAATTATGTAATAATGGCAAAATATGTCATAATAACATGAAAAATATCTGATAAAAAACAAGGCCACGGTGGCTGTACAAATGAGAATAAATTTGACCAAAATGAACATGCACACAGGAGATGATTTTGTAATTTATGCTGCAACAGCAGGTTTATATAAAAATAGTCTTTACAACTGTAATTGATATTAGTCTATTTTCTTTTACCTTAGCAAAATTAAAAGCAAAATGTTACTTAAAACAGCATTTTAACCACATCATACTTATCTGTCTAGACCTCCTATCCTCCCACACACTACATTCGCCGTGTGCCTCAGAGGAAGGTCCACTACTTCACAGCGCTGCAGATGATCCAGCTGATCATCTTGTGTGCGTTTGGGATGTATCCTCTGCCCTACATGAAGATGGTCTTCCCCCTTCTGATGATCCTGCTGGTCCCTATCAGGTAAGATGACCCAGGCCAACAGGGGGCAGAGTGGGACCATGGGAGCCAACACAGTACTACAACGTCTGCATGGTATTGACATTAGTCTGAGATTAATGCTGAGAGCTGTTTTTAAAGGGTCACTCCACTGATTTTAACACATATAGATCAGTTTATTAGTCACACTCACTTTGAGAACACGTCTTCTGTGGCTCTGGAGGGAACTTTCTGAAGTCAGGGTTATCTCTTTTTTTAATACAAAGCTTCTTAAAACTGGGGGTAAATATATTTAGTCTGTTTAGACTATTTCTGTGTGTATCATCTGATATCTCTCTGTTTTCTCTCAGGACCAGCCTGCTTCCCAGAATCATCGACGCCAAGTATCTGGATATCATGGACGCCCAGCACATGTAGAACAACAGAGAAACCTTACGAAAACATTCACTTTCTGGAAGGGAAACAGACTCCGAACTTAGTGATTGTGTTACTAACTAAATGAAATGCATTTGGGCTGCAAGATTCTGAAGCGAGCACTCTGCGGGTGACTGGACGACCATTTACACCCATCATTTGCTTTTTCATTGTTCACCACACATTTACCATCGATGTCACTGGCTTTAATATGTAACATTTCCACATCTTTATTGCATTTAACAATATAGTCATGCAGGAATTTCTTCTGTTTTACTTACTTCACACACGCATCTGTCTTCGGCTGGAAACTGACAGGTGCACAAGTTAATGTCAGAGACATTTTTTGTAATATTTAAAATAAAGTGTTAATCGTTTCATTTCATTAGGCATCATGTTGCTCAATAGAGAGCCACATGGTCTTACTCCTGCTTGAGTTTAAAGAGTGTTGTTGATGAGGGGATTAGGGATGTGGAGATTTCTGTGTTTTACCACCATAAAAAGAAAATCCATAATCATTTAACGGAGAGAGGGAAGGAGTTTCTCTCAGTGGAAAACATGCAGAGTGAATTGTCACCACACACTGGTTTTAATTCACCACACTGAAGCCAGGTATCGCAAGATGTTCCAGTTGTTTAGATGAGAAAATCTGCTATTTTCATTTTGAGGAGACACATAACACAATAATGTTGTTAGTTAGATAATTGGCTCTGTGCATTGCAATGTTGGTTAAATCAAACCAAACAAATAAAGCCCTTTAAAAGAATGTGAATGAACATTTTTCATTATACTTTACCTCCTCTGTGTTAACTCCCAAGGCAAAATACTTAATATGCACCACCAGTCATTGATACTGTAAGTAGCAGCACCTGCTTAAATACCATTGCAGCAGCATCAGCACAATGCTATCCTTTTTTGAGCCGGGAGGGCTGGCAGTCTGGTTGTTAGATTTGTCCAACAGATGGCAGTGGAAGCTCACCTTCAGGACGGTTTGAGATCAGGCTTGTGTACTCGCCAGTAAAAAATGAGCCAGATTCAAATCATCCAGGGAAAGAACCTGGGATAATAAAGTTAAGATTGGACAGATACAAACCAAAAAAGTCACCACCTTTAAATGTTTTCCTGCATGATTTTTGTTTTATCTGTAACTTCCTAAAGAGCTACTTTTATAAGGCAACAAACCACCTGATGCTATTATTTAAAATGCACTTTACTGCCTTAGCTGTGCTCAGAATTGTTATTCCACCATTAATCCATCAACTATGTCATCAGGACTGTTTTCCTAGCATGTATCAACTGTCTGTACTGAGTGGTTTGAATATATTTGCAGGAACAAAACACCCGACTGTTTGTTTGAGCCATCTGACAAACAAAAGGAAGCTCCTTTTCACATTGTGCAACAATGAAGCAGTGAACACAATTATCATCTGTGGTGACGTGGCTGAAAATATAACCACGAGTGAAGCAGAAGAAAAGAGCTTGTTGCATTCAGTAATTTTGAATGAAATGAAAAGAAAGTAGCGTGGCTTTGTAAAATATACAGACCTGGAAGGCACCATGTGAATGTCCTCTTATAGCCAATAAGTATCCTTTCCTTGATTTATAATGATAAGAAAATTACTGGAATGATCAGATTCAATTGACCAGATCTGAAAACACTGTCAACATTGTCAACAACTGCAAAAAGAAACCCCACAAAAAACCCCATGTCCATCATTTGCAGCTCCCCATTGATTACCGTCTCTGCAGTTCATTGTCCACTTGAGAACTGACAGTGCAATTACGTGGCCCAAAATAGGAGCATAATTCAATACTGAGAGATGTGAAAATGACTACAAACGGACCTGATCACCGCATTTGCCTTGTGTGCACTTTTAATAGCCTTCACAGAAAGTAGAAGGAAACATACAAATTTATTTTACATGATTGTACAAAATCAAGACGAGGCAAGAAAAAGGAAGTCAGAGAGTTTCGAGGTTGAAAGTAGACCCTGATGACCTTCCTTTGTAGCCCTTTAGTCCAGGTCTGATACTAAGCTGAGCCAACTGTGGGCTTGAGTATAAAAATACAATCAACCCCATGACTCCGCTGAGATTGGCTCTCTGAAGGGTTGAATCCCATGAGTAAAAAAAGAAAAGAGAGGAGACAGTGAGAGATGACGCGACTGTCACCATAGAGATACATCCACCTCTTGGTCACCGCAGAAATGCTGCCAATTAATTTGCCATCACAAAAAAACTGTATATTTATCTCTCAGCCGCCCACACAGAACACCCCTTCCTGATCTGAGATCTGCTGTGAATAATTTGTGCTCTTGTCTGGACAGGTGGAGCCCAGCATCTCTATTAGTTGTGGTCTTCCTCCACATTTCTAGAGTTTCCTCCATGTGCCTGTGTTGCCTTGTCTACCTGTCGTCTCTTCCATGTCCCAGAAGTGTCACCGGCAGAGTCTATGTGCTCTTGATGCCTTGAAAGCCGCA